ACACACACACATACACACATACATACACAGTCACCATGAAATCACACATATACAAGCAAACCAAAATCAAAACCCATCTTTGATGTTTTTTTTAGATTTTATTACATAATGACTATACCTAATTTTTTTTTTTTTGGAGAGTTTTTTGTTTTGTTTTGTTTTGTTTTTGCTATAGGGAGTGTGTGCTCACCAGAAAGTCAGAGAGAGACAGAGAGAGAGAAAGCAAGAAATCAACCCCAGGGAGGATGGCTACACCACAATCTCTTCTCCTCCAGTCTCCTCTTGGAATCTTGGGCACACACGCACACGTGCCTGGCATGAGTTTAAGTCACTGGGTCTGGGACGCGAATCACGGTCAACTACATGGGAGTCCAGTGACATAGCCATTACGCCAACTACTGGTCCCAATGACTATAATCTTTAAATCAGTTCTGTGTGGTTCTTTCCCTTTTTAAAAGTTTAGTTTAGTTTTGTTTTAGCATTTTGCTATAGAGCATTTGTGTTTGCCAGAGAGAAACGGGAATGGGTATGTGTGTGGTGGGGTGACCTGCTGAAGGGAGAAATCATCCCTCAGGGGAATGACCATGGTCCAGTCCCTTCTTCTCTCTTCTCTCAGGATTTTGGGGATACATGCACAAGGGCCTAGTGTATTTCTCAAGGTGCCAGACCTGGGCTTCAAACCACTCTGCCAGCCATGTGGAATCCAGACACCTTAGCCTCCATCCTATCCATTGGCCCTTTCCTCTGTGTGTGTGTGTGTGTGTGTGTGTGTGTTTAACCATTGAGAACATAAGAATGCTATTTCTGAACGTGAAGCCCATTCAGCTCGGTGTTCTCTTTTTGACCTGAGTCTCCTTTTTGACAATATAAATTTGTCAAATGCTATGAGTTGTTAACAGTACTCTTTGCTATTATCCAAGAAGCCTCAAAGTGTAATATTATCACAAGAATTTGCTATATTCAAGTCTAACAGACATCTTGGTTTGTATTTTTTTTTTTTTTTTGGTCACTAGAAGTATGGAATCTCATGTTAGTAGCAGATTCACAATTCAGCTCATCAAACAGAAGTATAAACCCAAAAAAAGCACTGTATCCTTATATTTGAATAATGTAACTGTTAATGATACTGGACAATGGTTAGCTCCAGTAAGCGTACTGTTTCACTGCAGCAAGCTCCATTAGAGGACTGGCCCTATAGTGCAATGGTTAAGCATTGTGCATAGGAAGCCAGATTTCACATGATGACCAAGTTACAAATTCTGGCCCTGGAAGCTTGAAAAACACATTGGGCACATGTGCATGTGTGGCCCAAATGGCAACATGGAGAAATGGAGGAAAAAAGATTGTTGTGTCACAGTGCCCCAAAGCGGGAAGGCAATTTTTTCTTTGGTTAGTGCATGAGCCCTCTGGCAATTAAAAAGAAAGCAAGCTCCATTACAAGGCAGTCTTTAAAAAGTTTTTTTTTTTTTCTCCCATGAGTGAGAGAAACAGAAAGAGGAGATAAAGAGGCCCCCCAGTAGAGTCTCAGTGCCTCAATCTCCCAACCCCTGCCAGTCCCAGATCATGGGCAAGATTCAATGTATTCCATGAGGTCTGTGGATACGAACCCAGATTTCCCATGTGGGTCAGCCTCACAGAACATTGTGTTACCACTGTGCCGCTGTCTGACAAACAAGATTAATTGGCAAGTATGAAAGCAGAAAAATATTCAATAAGACAAGCTAAGATAGAATTTTGCTTTGTACTCTATAACAGATGCATCTTTTCCATGAAGATGGAAAAAAATCACGCCCTTATAATTTCATGTGGAATTGCATCCTGAGTTAATTTGCGTACAGATTTAGTTGCCAAGAAAGACCATAACGGGGAACCAGCAGCTGGCGTAATGGCTATGTCGCTGGACTCCCATGTAGTCGACCGCAGTTCGAGTCCCAGACCCAGTGGCTTAAACTCACGCTGGGCGCGCGTGTGTGTGTGTGTGTGTGTGCCCAAGATCCCAAGAGGAGTGCCGGGGTCCAGCCTCGGCCAGGGTGGGTTATCTCGACGAAGGCGGCGACAGTGAACAGAAGACAGAGGCCTCGATGCCTTTTCATGCACGTCCTATGCCCGACACCCCTCAAAGATCGCTCTCTGAGGGGTGACAACTGCTAGAATTATCGTGCCTTTTTATTGAAAATGTGTTACAAGTAAATGGGAGAGGGGCTAGTGTTTCAATTAACAGCTCATAAAGTTTTTAACAATAAAGAACATAGATTCTATTCAGGGTTTGATTAAGGGTGGGTCTAGTGCAATTCAGGGTTTGATTAAGGGTGGGTCTAGTGCAGTTCCTATTCAGGGGTGGATTAAGGGTGGGTCTAGTGCAGTTCCTCAATTGTAGGTGGGTCTCCATGGAATGCAGTTTC